CTCCACCATAGTCATCATCTCCACCCTACCACTATTTTCACTGTCCAACCATCACCTCTACCACCACTACCCCTACCACCTCACCACCATCCCTCACGACCATCACCACTACCACCACTAGTGACATCGCCACCCTCGCCATAACCACCCACCACCATTACCATCGCTCACTCCTTTTATATTTGTAATTTAATTTTAAATGTAAATATAAATATATTTATTGTTAATTTTTTTTTATTATTATTTTGTATTATCAGACATAGAAAATAACTAGTATATATATAACTCAACATCGTCAGGTTGGACTCAGAAAAGGAAATCAAAAACAAAAACAATTATATTCCAACAAGTGAATCACGCACACCCAGTCCAAATAGGTTAGAATGGGCCCGAGAGCCGAGGCCCTAGTTATAGTTAATAAAGAGCTTGAAATAATACATCTGATATATACATAACAGCATGTATGTTCACCCTAGGCCCAGCCCAAGCATACCCCACCCACCCTTCCTGAATCCTGATCATGAAGACTAGTTCGATTGGAAGCGGCCAACCACCTTTTTTTCTGAATGACATTCTTGGTGGCAATTAGCTTAATCATCTTGGACCCCAGGCGCAGGAACGTTAAAGATTTCACTTGTACTCAACTAAATCATGATTGGTGGGAAGAAAGAAAAAGAAAAGAATCTAGTTTTTACATTAGAAATCGAATTAATGAATCACTCATGCTCACAGCCAAGGCATGTGAATTGCTTTTAAGGTTCAATTACTTCTGATGGTCCAGGCGGGGGATGTCATACTCATGCTAAGAAAATAGTGGCTTGGGGAAGTCAATCACGTTGTTGTCAGATCTTATTTCTCAACCTCCACGTAGTACCACCACCACCACCTCGACCACTACCTACACTGTAATAAATAACAAGTGACGTTGCACGATATATATGTTTCTAGCTCCCCACAATCTACACCTGACCCAACCACTCTTACTTTCATATATATTATATATGCACACCCTCAATAATTGTCATCCATCATCCAACCCGGTCCAACAACCCATCCGCTCCAGTCATTAATCACCGCCGGTTAGTACATGACATGTACATTCTTTGTTTATTAAATCTCTGCGTATATATGTCTGCTATTACCAAATTTACAATTCCAATTAATCTTAATTACTTCTTTGTATCTTGAAAAATTATCAAGAATTAGTTCATTTTTTAAAAGCAGTACTACATCCCAATATGGGGTTAACCAAGTATCTATCTATCTCAAATAAAAAAATAATAATAAGTATATTGACTGAAAATTTTTAATTATTTATTTTAATATGCCAACAATAAAAGGAATCAAGCAACTAGTGCAAAAAAAAAATTAAAACACTGGTGGTAATGATGGCGAGCGTTGGTAGTGGTGGTGGTGGAAAACGGTGATGATGATAGTGAATTTTGGGTGATGAGGATGGTAGTGGCAGTCATACGTGACTGTAGTTGTGGTAATGGGTGACAGTGATGGTATGGGGAGTGGTGGTGGTGGTGGAACGACAACGATGGTGGTGGCAATGGTGGGTTGTGCTGGTAAATAGTGACAACGGGTGTTTTTGGGTTACAATGTGATGGGTGGTGGTGGTAGGTGTGGTGGGAGAGAGTGACAGTGGATGACGGCAGTAGTGATGGACGACGGATGATGGTGGTAAATATGGTGGGTGTGGGTGACAGTGGCTAGCGACGATGATGGGCGACAACTAGTGGTGGTGGACAACAATAGTAGCGGTGGGTGCTAATGGTGGACGACGAAAGTAATGGGATGATAATAGTAATTGTAATAAATATAAAAATGAGATGAAGATGGTGGTAGTGGATGGTAGGGGATAAGTGGATGGCAGTGGTAGCAATCGGTGGTAAGTAGCGAGGTTGGTGGTGGTGGTGGAGGCGGCGGCAATAGTAGTAGTGATGGGATGGTGGAGGGGAAGTAGGGATGGGGATGGTGGAAGGGGTGATGATGGGACTGTGACGATGATAGTGGTTGTGTGACGGTAGGGGTGGTGTTGGCAATGGGGTCGCAACAATGGTAGTGGCGACAACGGTGGTCTTGGTGGGGGCAATGGTGATGGTGCTGATTATTGTGGTAGAAGTGATGATGAGGTGGCGATGATGGTAATAGTGGTGGTTGTAGTGGTATTGGTGGTAGGGCGATTAGGGGTGGGGTAGGGTGACAGCAGCGATGATGGTGATGGTTGTGGCGACAATTGTTATGGTGATGGTGATGGGGTGGTGGTAGTGACAGTGGGGGAAGGGGCAGTTGTGGTGGCGATGGTGATAGTGGTGAGGAGGTGGGAGTGGTGGTTTTAGGGGGATTTCAAACATTATTTTTTTTAAAAGTATTTATGAGAAGTTATAAGTTCTAGAAGTATTTTTAAAAAATTACTCCAAACACACCCTTAAGGTCATATTTTTTCTATTGAATTTAGGGTGTTAATATTATTCGCCAGATTAACTTTAAAGTAAAATTTAAAAACATCTCAATCTCAAAAAATAAAAGTCATTTTGTTTATCTTTTGAGATTTAAATTGTATTGTAATTTATTATATCAATATAGTAAGTAAGTAGCAATGTCTACTTGCTATGTACTATAAGGGCCACTACAGTGATGTAGAAATAATTACACCATCCTTATGTTGTTTGGCATTTGATGGTGCGTGTGTTATACAATTGAGCATATTTGTGACCTTTGGGATAGGAGAATCATTGGAAGGCCCAGTCATAACCCCTGAGCTTTTAGGAATTGAACAAGTATAATAGGGAATTGTAAATAGGGAGTTTACAGTGGTTTATCAGTTCGAGAATTCGGGTAATCCACTCTCAAGGAAATCTCTTGCTCTTAGGAAAAGATTTTTTTGATAAAATGGGAGAATTACTCGGAGTAAAGCTTAGGCTAGTTACTTGTCCTTTCATTGTGAGGAATATGCCTCTTATTTATAATTTTCCTAAGCTTTGTCTGATCCCCTGACGTGATCCTTGTCTTTTCCTTATAACCGATGCGTTATGCAATTACGGTAAATAGTGTTGGGACGGTTACGACTTTTTTTTAACTAAATATAAGATCGTTATGGTTTATGCTTGGTATTTCAGTGGAAGCCATATACCCTCCTTACTGTCCTCATGAGGACATTGGGGTTGGGGACGATGTGCTGACCTGAGCGCATCTGGTTGTCTGTAATGAACTGTGCGATTTGATTTCGGAATGATTGAGTTAAACATCTGAGCTCAACCTTAGTCATATTCTAAGTATCACCGGCACTAATAATGTATTATGCATAACATTTCTTCTTATAGATTTTCACCTGTGAGTAATATTTTAAGATCAATTCCCTGTCAGGATCTCAATGTATTGCATTATTTCGTATAAGTAATCATTTATGTTCTAAAATTTGGTCTACTTAACAATGGTAAGTGCAGGTTTTTGATTTGTCAATGAATGTGCATATATTTATATTTGAAATATGTGTGTTATAAATTTTTGTCAAGAAAAAATAAGATAAAATTGCTACACATAATTACGAAAAAAATTCATGTTTCATATTCATTGTTACCAAATAATATGTTCATAGAATATTAAATTTGGCATATGCAAGTTTAAAATATTATATTATATCAGAGTAATATTATAAGAATCCATTTTGTTAATATATGTAATTTATTTGAACCTGACGTAGTAATAAACAGAGGACGCGGAAGTTCAACTGATTTTACTTCTACTAATCACTTCTTTTTCTTTCATTACCTTTTGAATGTCTAACGATCTTTTTCGCTCAAAATAAACTGTTGCAATATGTTTGGCATCAAAATCATTGTTATTGTATGGATGTCAAAATTAGATACAAGCTATTTTCATCCAAAAATTGGGGACTTACTTAAATTATCTCTACAAATTAATCTATTATTATTGATGGACAAAACAGTTTAACGCAAGATCAACAGTCGAATGTGTGATAAAGTGTAATTAATGGATAATTAATATATCAATCAATAACAATAATGTAAATATCGGGTTAACACGCAGATATATAGTGGTCCGATCCAGGTGACATACTTCATTCTGGGAAACGACAACGATGGCAAGGAGACCTTTTATTGATTAAGTAAGGTGAACAAGAGAGAGAGCAATAGTTAGCTCCGGAGGTATAGAGATGTTTTTCTCAATGAAGAGAGCTTACAATTTAAAAACACATATCCTTAGTTAAGCCGGTGACTTGAGGGAGAAGTCACTAATCTTTCGAGGAGGATATAATTATAAAAAGTAAATACAATGAAAGAGTGTCTTGATCTTCGATAATGGATATCCTGATAATTGCTCCTCATATACTTTAATCTTTATAGAATTCTTATACCTTTGGGTGAACCGAATTCACAAACTAAACCTAACTTGCTTTTTAGTTGATTTAAGTCTGTTTAATTTTTCTGGTCTAATCCAATTAAATTTGGGCTCGTCAATTATTTCATAAAATACTATATTTCTAGTATTATTTAAAAACAAATTGTGTTGCTAGTATTATTGATTAATACGTGAGTGTCTCATACGAGATAATGCTGGATACGGTAAGATTCGTCGTAAACCTATGATGGTCTCATACGTGTCCTTTCGGCCCCTCACAGTCACGTTTTCCTAACTTGTAGTTATCACAGCTGAAGAGTGAGAACAGTAAAGAAACCCAGCAGTCACCTAGTAGCTTACGATACAAACACAACCTCCACTCCTCACCTTACACGTGTCCCCTAATTGAGCAAACGTTCTCAAAATTCCGGTATAAATATTGGATCTACTTAGCATCTCAGTCCCGATTCTCGGCATCTAATCTTAGATGCCTTCCCGCCAATCTATCCGACGGCCTTCAATCACCCACTCTCTGTCCCCATAAATCACCCATTCTCCTCAGTCCTACCCTCTCAAGCCTCCAGAACTAAACAAAGCCACAGAGTTTTTTTTTTTCTAGAGAGAGAGAGAAGATGAATACTTTGGATTCTCCGCTCGAAGCCCTGGCCTTCAACTACCTGAGCTTTGGGTTGTTCACAGTCGTTAACAATATTTGGACGTGGGTTGCCGTTATAACTGCCGCCCTTAGTTTCTGGCGGATCCGATCTTCAGGCTTATTGAAATCTGACCTACTTGACCGGAACCTAGATGGCGCGTCACCGGCGGCGGTGTTTTCATCGCCATCGTCATCACCAGCTGAAAACATAGCTGAGCCTGCTTCTAGCACTTCAGCATCAGCTTCAGATTTCCCGGCGATGTCAAAGATAACGTCGTTTTGTAGGGTGGAGGGAGATGGACTGACAAAAGGGAAGTATACGGTGTACTACAATGAAGATGATGATGAATTTACAAGTAATGAGGAGGAGGTTGATAACCGTGACGGTGAGGGTGTTGAGGTGGTAGCTAAAGAGTGGTGTGACGGCTGGGATAGAGTTTTGAGAATGAGAAATGGAGACATGGGTTGGTACAGATATCAGGACTTGACGGTGCTGGACGGTAACGTTGTTAGGTTATGGGATGGTTGTACTCGTAGCCTGTAGAGGAGGAATTAATGCCATCACTGCATATAGGTGATGGGGGCTTTGTGGTAGTTTTCAGCTTTTTCTTTTTCTTTTTCTTTTTTTTCGATGTTTCAATTTAATTAGAAGGTACGAATCAGAGCCTTCATACTACAGAAGACTTGAAAGTCCTGAATAATTTATCAGGGTAAGCCTGATATTTTTAAGCTACTTACAAGAGGAAGAGTTCAATTCAAGGACCTCCGATGATTGTTAGCTGTTGTATCAGGGTTATTTTATTGCAGATTTGATAGTCTTCAAATTGTATATATGTGATCTTGAAATACTAGCACTTGTTAATGCAAACACACTCTCTCTCTCTGTCACTCTCACTCTCATAATTCAATCAAACCCTTTTTCTTGTTTGGGATGTTTTAATTTCCTCGATCACCTTTTTTGGTGGTTGCAAAATCATTAACGTATTCGACCTCCCTTTTCAGTTCTTTGTCCCAATTCTATTGATTAGTTCACATCAGAGGGATGATCGATGAAACGTACAGTATGTATTCCCGGCTAATTGCTAGTTCATCCCCCTTGCTAAACAAATGAAACTCATGAAAGGGAGTGGGACAGGAAATAGTGTTCTTTGATTGCACGGAAGAAAGTGGTGAACTTTTAAGTAAACTTTGCCACTCCTTAATCACTAGACCTTTCATTGATAAAGTTGGTTGATGCTTTTCTGCACTGCTTAATTTTTCTGTTCTAAAATTTTCATCAAGGTAGGGGGCTCTTTCTTTTAATTTTCTTCATTAGTTAATGACCAATCTTTTCTAAAATATCCTTAGTGGCATACATAATTCCTACTGCCCATATTTCACCGTGACAAAAATCTTGTTGAGGACCTATAATTATTTAAGACAACGGAATCATATGAATTTACAAGCTTATGGCAACAATACTAGCCCGTGCAGTCCAACACAAAGTAGTGGATAGTTATCTAGTCTTACCCGTAGGAGAAAGTTTGAAGGTTTCAAACAGAAAACGATTGTATAACAAACACCGAAAAATATAATAAATAAATTAGAATTATTAGGAGTTATATGAAATGAAATAGGATGATGAAATGGTACAATGGCTTAAAAAAGTTGTTAAGAGCAATGAAGTCCTTGAATTGATGCGCCAATAGCATAGCATTGATCAAAAAGAAAAGGTAATGTATCAATAATTAATACATTGTCTCAAAATTTCTGCAGCATTAAACATCCAATATAGTGGATTAACAAACCCCAAGGTTATCAAATTTCGTGCCCACCATAAGGAAATGTAAAGTGAAGCATTAAGTCACAATTTTTTAGGTGAATATATATATATATATATATATAAATGGAGGTGTCCCCATAAACCACCTAAGATGGATGAATTTAATACTTCTGTCTTGCAATGTTGTAGGAGTATGTATCTATTTCCCAACTAATTTGATAGTAGTTAATTTCAATTGATATGGGTGGTTGAGAAATCAAACAATGTTGACAAAGGACCGCCAATTGGTTGCTTGTCACTAGACGTACGAATAATGCCCAAGTATTGGCGGCATTAACGTTTCCTCACTCATCTCTCTCCTCTTTACTCCTTTTGTAGTTTGCAAATTGTTGATTAATTCCCAAAGATGGCGTAACAAAATGATGATATCAATAGATGTATGGATGTGTGTGTGTATGTGTGAAGAGAGAGAGAGAGAGAGAGAGAGAGAGATAATAATAATAATAATAATAAGATACACCATAATCTACTATGTGCTTGAAACACATTCCTTCAAGCACACTATGGGATCACTATTAGCATATACTATTCTACGTTATTTCATGCAGGGGCGGCGGTTGGAGTCAATTTAAGGTTTAAAGCGGAAATATTAAATATAAATTTTTTTATTTTTAATATTATTTAAAAAAATAATAATTTATTTTTAATTTTCTATGTGAGAGAGACCCAAAAAAAAGATGTGTTAATGTTATCGAAAAAGAGATTTCAACTATTGTTTTTATTTTTTACCACAGAGAGGGAAAGAGAATGTTTAAATTCAACTTTTGTTTTTGTTTTATTTTTTTTTTTTCGGAGAGAAAGTGGGTGGGAGTAAATATAAGTTGACTTTTGAGTATTTTTTTTTATTTTTTAATTTCTAAGTTTTTAATGTTATAGATTAGATTATAGGCCCAAATTATTGCAATAAAAATTTTGATTGAATTTAATTTTTTTTAAAGTTTTTTGTAGAACTTAAAATTCAATGAATTTAATTTTTTTTTTTTGTGGACTAGTGATGTAGCTAAAATTATAAGACTTTCTAAAAATTTGGATCCTAAAATTCATGTTTTTTTTCATACTGTTGGGCCGACTCTGATTTCATGTCACAATTTGTTGTAGGCTGGACACTAATAAGTTAGAGTGGCAAACATAGTCTGGTTATAAAAATTATGTCCATGTATATGTAACTCTTCCAAAACACTACAACAACAAAAGTATAATTTTGTGAACCGCTCTTCTTAGATCAAGTTACGGAAATCACCTAAATAGCATAGGCCCGATACTCTTCTTGTGCACCACATAACTTAATTGTGGTCAATGATTTTGGTTTGTAGCAAACGAACGAGTCATTGTCTACGTCAGTATCTGCCTGAATCACCACGATTTTGATCCATATCATAACAAAAGAGGTAGATACATCTCCCATGTACACGAGGTAATATTCAGTTTAAGATTCCATATACCTTTTTCCTGCTCAAAATTTATATTCTTCCTTCTTTTTTTTCCGGGCAAAATCTTCTCCTACGTCCTATACTTATATTTTTTTTTTTTAAAGGAAGGAGAAGAGGAATTGAACTCTTATCTTCAAGAAGACAAAACCTTGACAAGATAAAGAATATCATTGAATCAAAAACTCATTGATATACCTAAACACTTTTTTGTTGGCTGGAAAAAAAGATAATTGTATGAAAAATTAGGAAATAATTTCTAAAGCACGTGTTTTGTATCATTTTGACTCTTTTTTTTTCTTTTTTAAAATTTTATGGTTGGTCCTTCACCTTGGCCAATCAAAAATGAAGGTTAAAATCGATTAACATAAGGCATTTTGAACCATCAAGTTCTTACTTTGGTTTTCATTTTTTTAATTTTAACACTATAGTCCGTTAAGATTTCAAAGAAGGCCCCTTAGTGTAGTCACATGAGGCACTTTTGACCACTTTTGTTAGTCAATCTAAATTCTAGTTTTCAATTGAACTAAAATAACACAAGTATAAAATTTTAGGGGATTAAAGTGAAAAAAAAATGAAAGAATGAAGATCAAAAGTAAGAAAAGCTTATAAATTCTTATCAGGTGTAGTTCAGTGATTGACTCTAGTATTTGATAACTCCTCACACCCACTAAAGATTAGTCATTTTTATTCTTTTAGAGACATACTCTAACCCAGTTTAAATTACGATAGTCAACCATTAAACTTAAAGGATTAATTAACCCCAAAAAAAAAAAACACAAAGCTTATACTTGGGTGGTCATAGTTGTGTTAGCCGGTGTGTGCAATTTCGAAAATGCACATGCACAGCTATAAATTGGAAGTGGAAGTAGGTAACCCTGGGAGATATATATGGCCAATAGAACCTGACCTAGTATCGTCATCATCTATGGGTGCAACTATAGTTTTGGGCCTATTATTATATTCAAATTGACCCACAATAATTGCACATCAAAATAAGTCCAATTAAGTGGACAATATTATGAGTGAGGCAGCCATGGAGGATGGCTGCTTCTTCTGTCATGCTGACCGGTAGAAGAGAGTAGTACCTAGACCGCATCATAGAATATGCTTTTTCTTGAGCCTATTTAATAGAGGCCGACTGCTAATGCTGATCCCTTAATGGTATATTTGGTATTGGGGATAAAAAATAAGAAAGGTGAAAAAATAAGAGGGATATATTTTTTATTCTTTGAAAAAAAAAAGAGTTTTTTTTTTTTTCTGGTTTGGTAGGGAGAGACGAAAAAATAATAAGTAAATAATTTTTTATTGTTTTATCTAGCATAAAAAAATTAACAATATATATATATATATAGATAGATAGATAGATAGATAGTCTATTAAATGTCATGAATACTCATGTATTTGTTATAATACCAATGTCAAAAAGCATTCATGGATCCACCACTTTATAATCAAGGGCGGAGCCAAGAATTTAGTTCAGGATCCACTCTTTAATTATGCACTATAATTTTTTTTCTTCTAACCAATCACACTATATAATATATTTATATTTGATATATAAAAAATGTATATTATCAAGGGCAGAGCCATGAATATTAATGTTAGGGGCAAAATATAACTGGTATAAAAAAAAATTAAGCCGAAATTAATACAAAAAAATTCAGTTCAAGAACCAAAAAAAATAATAATCATCACTAAATTATTGTGAATAGTAAATTCAATTTTTATTTAGCTGAAACAAAATCTTAACAAAAAGACACAAAATAGTTTTTTTAATACATTTTTATCTAATTATATATTTTAATAAAATATAAAAAAATTTAAAATCTCTAAAGTTTTGTATATGAATTAAATGTAAATTAATTTTCGTATTTTATTAGGCTATAGACTACTATTACTAAAAAATGGTAAATAAAAATTAAAAATTATTCTTAAAAAGTAACGAACATTATATTAGATAAAGAGAAATATTGTATTTTCGTCAATATACAAATAAAACATTGACTCAATTCAAAACTAAAATATATTTATTTTAGAGGATTAATGATTCACTAATTTATTAAAAAAAAAAGACTAGAACCATTATTAAAATTTTCAAAAATTTAGGAGATAAATATAATGTATAAAATAATTTTATAGGTTGGTGTAAGGAAGGACAAAAAAAACTCAAGGAACTGAGTTTCTCGTGTGTTGAGTTTTTCTCTGTTTCTTCTCTTTTTCTTGTGACTGGCCAGTGGGCAGTGGGCAACTGAAAATGAGTGATACAAAGAGGGAAACAAAATGAAAGATAAA